GTTGTTGTTGTTTCCTTCGTGTTTTACAGATGAAGGAATGATTACTGGACAAAGAAAATCCTAAAGTTTTTTGGATGTGCGATTAGATTCTTCAAGGCAAGCTTTATGATCTGGACGATCTTCGTTGACTAGCTTAGGTGTGAGTGAATGAGGTTTGAAAATCCTTCTCTTTCCTGCAGAGTTAGAGGCAGAAAATTATTTAGGGCCGATTTGATAGTTTATTGATTCTCATCTCTGTGTTTGTTATTCCTAATTTCGAAGAAAGAAAAACATGAACGTGCTTGGTAATTGTTATTATTAATTTTCTTATTTCTTCATTGTAGAAAAATTCTCTCAAAATTTAAATTAGAAAAATTAATTTTTTTTACAAGACAAGTAACTTTTAAAATGTAAAATTTCCAAAATTATTATGTTATATTTTATTTTTAGTATTTATTATGGAAGTTATAAGTAAAAGTGACAGAAGGGTGCTTTTATATATGGTTTTTAGAAAGAAGTAACATAGAAAGAACTGGATCTTTTTGTTTCCAGCATTTGCATACAAAATTGAGATTTTTTTAAAAGAAAAACGAGGAATAAGAATTACCGGAAGTACACCTTTTGAGGTCGGTAATTCGCATGTACTCATTCCTCTTGAGGTCGGAGTACTAAAACAAGAAAAAAAAAAGGGAGAAACTGGCAAATTTTTATCAACTTGACTTTCACACAGGTTTTTTTGCTTAATAACATACTTTATAAAATCGTTCTTAAAAAACCAAGCAAAATTTCAAAAACAAAATTTAAATTATCTTGTAAAGGAGTAACTAGATCTTATGTACCAAGTAAATAGCTAAATCAAATTTTTATAAGTTTTATGCATAAGAAAGTCTTCCCTTTATCTGGTGTCATATTCCTAGGCTTCATATTTTCATGTACCTTTTGTTCTCTCCGTCCATCCCTCTTAATACCTTTTGTTTGTTCTGGAACTTGATCATAAGAGTTGAGAGTTATCTGTATGGTTTTGCTTTATGAGTTGCCAGTATCTGATGATGAATGTTAATAGTATTGTCTGTGCTTACGTTCCTCGATCATTGTTAGATGTCAGGGGATCCGGTGGAGCCTGAAGTTCTTGAGAATATAAATTGCATCACACCTAAGTTAAATAAAAATGATCTGATCCTTAGGCCAGTTTCTGAAGATGAAGGAGGGGAGGGTTTGCCATATGCTCCTGAAAATTGGCCCAATCCCGGGGATAACTGGAGATGGAGGGTGGGGAAGAGAGTTGCTATAACTGGCCATTTTCTGGATAGGTACCTTTATCCTCCTCGCCGTCTTGTTGTTCCTGAGAACACATCCCATAGAGGGAAGCTTCTTGCAAGCAAGCTTTCAGTTGAAAGATATATCCAGTCTGTCAACCCTAATGTAAACGTTGATGCATTTTTTGCCTCATTCTGCTGGAAGATACCAGCAAAAAAGTCGGCCTCAGCGCAAGGTTAGCTCAAGAAATTTTGCTGTTGTAGTTCCATAAATTTCATTATAAATCTCTGTTCTAGCATTCTCGGCTTGCCTCTTGTATCTGAAATGCAAGATTGATGATTTTGTTAGATGAAATTGAATGCGTATTAAAGCTGATATATTCCTGACGTAGAAATAATTGTCTTAAATGAAAAGGTTTCTCATGATCATGTAATGCATTGAATTTATGTTGCATTAGGTTCCTCTTTCTTGTGACAGGTAGTCTCTATTACTTTCTTTTTATAAACTCGTAATAAATTCTTTCGGTTAGATCATTGCACCTAGTATTTTAGTTCAGGTAAGTTTCAGAAACTATTGTCATTCCCTTTCTTACTTATTAGAATTTAGATCTTATTCGTCGGTTGGTTCTTTTTTGTCAGGATAATGGCTAACAAGCTTGACAGCTTAGGACTCTCTCCATATTCTGAAATTTGCAGAATTTAGATTTGTACTTTGCGTTGTAATACATAATTATTTCCATATCATTAATTAATATGTTTGCAGAGTGTGAGTATGTGTCTGTTGCTGTACAACTGTGTCCTTGAGTTCATAATAACTGTTGTATTTTTTTCTTTGTAAAGATCCTGATTGTAAAGTGTCATCTTACTTTAGGTGTGCGAGGAAGACAAGATCCATGCCCTCTTCCCTCAAAAGAGACGAAAAAATGCACAGCATCTGATTCCCAGATTGTGGGTTGCAAGGCTGGAAATATAATCTGTAATAGTTTATCTCTTGTAGAAAACCCATCTTTATTAAAATCCATGTCCTGTGATATTTGCTGCAGCGAATCTCGGTTTTGCCGTGATTGCTGCTGTATACTTTGTTCCAAGATTATAGACATGACCAGGAAAAGTTATAGCTATATTAAATGTGAAGCTAAGGTAGGTGATGGGGATATTTGTGGACATCATGCTCATATCAAATGTGGTCTCAAATCATATATGGCTGGGACAGTTAGGGGGAGAATTGGATTGGATGCTGAGTATTATTGTCGACGTTGTGATGCTAGAACAGATTTGGTATCACATGTTGAAACATTTTTGCAGTTATGTCTATCAACCGATTGTTGTGATGACATTGAGGAGTTCTTAGGCATTGGTTTCCGCATTTTGCGTGGTTCACACAAAATGAGAGCAAAGGAATTGTTGAGACATATTGAATTGAACATTGCAAAGGTAAAACTAGAAAGTTCTCTACAACTACTAAACAATTGTTGCAATTTCTTAGGCTTATGCTACTCTGAGAACTTAACAATTCTATTCGACTTTGAATGCTTGCGTCAGGTTAAAACTGGGACTTGCTTGGAAGATATATGGAAGATGGATGAAGACATCTCAGCTAATTGCACTGGTAATTTTTCTTCAAATCAAATAGCATGGTTAGGTTCCTTCTGCAGTATAAGCCTGAGAAATTGTAAAACTAGTTACTAGTGAATCATTACTTCTGCATCAAACTCTTCTTAAGAACATCGTCTCTAAATGTGGTTAGTGATATAATGTGCCAAAGATCTAGTATGTTCACCAACCATTTACACAATCAATCTTTGATACTCTTGCCTATTAAGAGGACGATTTTGTATCTTATACGCAGATGCAAATGGTAGCGCGAATTCTACAGAAAGTTCTCATGGCACTTCAGACTCCTTTATAAGCTCAGAATGGACTATGTCCACCCCTTTTGATCATTGGACTGAATCCCTAAAACTGGAAGACGAGATTGAACAGGTTCTGCAGGCACTGAAGAGATCACAAGAGTTCGAGTACAGTTTGGCAGAAGAAAAGCTTCTGTTACATAAAAATTATCTACATAATCTATTTCTGCAACTCGGCAAGGAACAAACTGAACTCGGACATCGAACATCATCAACTAGACAAAAGGCCTTTCAGAATAATGTAACAAATAGAGTGGATCAAATAAAACGAGAAGTAAAGAAACTGAAGAGAATAGAAAAGGTTGCTGATGGATTTGGACGAACTCCTAAAGATATACTGAAGGAGGACTTTGGTTTTGAAGTTGATTAGAGAGACATGGGCAACATTGGCCATTATGATTCAGTTAGCCTTTATATAGTCAGGCTTTATCAGGTGTTTACTGTGTATCATATGGCTTCACATGAAGCGAGGATATCGAAAAGGCGTCAACTTCTCAACAAGCTGGATTCTGCAATCAAAATACCGTAGCTACGGAGTTATGGGTATTTGGATTCTGCAATCAAAATACCCTCTGCAACGAGTTTTCACGGTAGGCCTTCAAATCAAAATTTCAATGCCATGTCTTTTTAGATTTTCTACTGACCAAACAGTTATCTGTGCTCATAATTATTATCTTTGTTACTTTTGTATTTGAATAGATGAACAAATGAGATCAATTATGTTTTTAATTCTTGAGAACATTGGACCCCTCTTCTCAGATAAACTTCCTCGTCTCCACTGGTTGCTCGATGGATTGCTTGTCATTGGCTTCTAACTCAGTAAGGATACTGTCTGTCTGGTTCAGGCTTCTTATCGCTGCTTGCGGAAGAGGTACTTTCTTTTGACTACAATGCTTATAAATAAAACATAACCCCATTTATTACGTAGAAAGGAGGCTTCCATCGCCATTTTGTTTAGCAGGAATTGAGAATGAACATGATTTTTACAGCTATGGGTGACTATTCTGTTCTTTTCTTCATCATTTGGCTTCTCCTTCCCTTTCGAATGTATTTTTGTGATTGTAGTGAAAATGCAGTTTTTTGTTTAATCCAAATGCAATTAATTTTTATGCAATCGAAGTAATTTTTATTACAAAAAAATTGATAAATAAAAACATTTTTTTTTTTAAATAAACATTGATTATAAAAAATTGTCTTAAAAAAAACTTATACCTTTTTTTATTCAAAAAGGATTATTTCTCTTAGCCAATGTTCAATAGCCACAATAAAATGATGAAAGCTGAAAGTAATGCCGTACTCACATGGTCGGCTACAATCATAAGTCTTTTATGCTTTTGTTTGTTTGTCATACATTTTGGGGCTCCCACACCATGCTCTCATTTTATTCCTTAATTTTAATTTTAATTTTAATGGTGACTCATTCATGCTAGTCATCATAGAGCGCCGTGGAAGACCCGATGTATTCAAATCAAAACTCTACAACTCGAGTTGTAGAGTTTTGTAGACTCGATATTATAATGATCTATAAATTCATATTTGCAGTGCTTCAATTTTCTACCCATCCTTGTGCAATACAACACACAGGAGTACATATGCTTCTCCAACATCAAATATTTATACTTTGATCAATAACCATCTCGTGTTCAAGCGACACCGAACATGACCCACATGAACATTAAAAAGACAGATATCAAGGAGCGTTGCATGCAGGCAGTCGTTTCCCAAATGAACAGATGAACAATCAAAGGGAAAAATGGCAGATACGAAAAGGCTCAATAAAAGAAGGTTTTATGTAAATCTTGGCGCCACATTATGGTCGTAAATTTCAAAACCAAAAAGTAAGGAGCATATGAACACATATAGGACCCATAAATGGACAAGAAAGAAGCAATACTTTCCAAGCCAAGAGAATTATTACAAGTGCTTCAGAACATGGCTAAACCACTAACAAAATGCTTTGGCAAATGGCTATCCAATAAGGAAATCAAAGCGAAGGGAGAGCATGAAAACAACATCGAACTATCCAGTTGAGCTATCAAATGAAACCCATATTTGAAACATGGGGTACTCAACTCGAGCTGGGGTTGCGTTTTTGCAAGTTCTTGTAATGGATTCATTTGATTTGGGTTTTCTTTCTAAATATCATTTAATGGGTCATGAACTGATTCAGCAATGGAAAACTAACAGGAAATCTGGAAGAACATTGATAATGATATAGTAAATTTCCAGCACTTAGTACAGAAACCAAAAAAAAAAAAAGAAAAAAAAGGGAAGGATTCAATTTACTGTACAAGAACAAGCCGACCTTCCATTCCATCTCTGAAGCTCCCGCTCCCATCTCCCCAGATATCTCCTCCACCATCTTCTGAATTCTCCTCCTCATTACCCTTTGGAACAGTAACTATAAGCTCTCCGTCGACGAAGGCGGCACTCGCAAGCTCCGGCCGTGTCGTCTCCGGTAGCCGGAACCTCCACATATCCAATTCGAGCTCATCAATTGCCAATTCCAACGATTCATTTTCACGCACAACGATCTTAATTACCCCAGGATGGATTTCCACAGCATGAGCCCTTACTCGTTCGCTAATTCTACCATCAGTTTCAGCAACGAATCGAAAACAATCACGATTCTCTTCCACCAAAACGTCCGCATCAGATCGAAATGGAAGCTCGAGTACCCGACTGAAGATATGTGGTAATCTACTGAGTTTCTTGTGGTTCAGAAGAGATTGATTTCCGAGAGAGCTTCTCGAATTGGGGTTATTACGAACGATTATACTGCGATTCCTCGGCAATGGGTGGACCTTCATGGCGGTGGTGTTGATTGATTTCAAGCTCCTTCTTCACACTCGCACACAGATTAACAGAGGAGGGAGAAACAACAACAAGGAAATCAAAGATGCCCTAGAGGAAAAGGGAGAATCATAAAGGAATCAAACGAATTGATACGAACAAAAACAAAATGGATGAAGAAATTAGGCACAGAAATCGGATTAGAACCCTAAATTTTCAGAAATGGGGAGTGGAAAAGGGAATTGTGAGATCGAGGGATTTGAGAGAACGGAGAAACAGAATCTGAACGGAGGAAGAAGAAGGCGTTCCAGGTAGAGAAAGCAAAGGGAGGGCCGAGCAAAGAGCAGAGAGAATCGCTCAGCAGATATAAAGGAAAATTAAGTTTTTTTTTTTAAACCTTAATTTTCGATGAAATTACAAATTCCAAGTGGATAATTTTTTTAGATAAAATTAATAAATTTTTGTGTTTAATAGGTTAACATACAAGGTGCCTGATTAATTGAACAATATACCTTAATTAATCTTTAATTAAGCTTATCATTAATAGATGATAAGAGTTGTTACTTGGTTACATCAATGTTACGTCAACCTTACTTAAAAAATATTAGATTTTAAAATAAAACGTTCGAAATTATATCAAGAAATTAATATAAAGATGCAAATATTAGGATAAAAAAAATTATTTTATGACTTCAATAAATAAAAATTCAAACCGATTTCAAAACAAAAAATCATAAATAAATAAATAAAAACAAAATCATAATTAAATCAAACTTTTTTGACATTTTAGTTTGATTTACAACACATTCTAAATTTCTCACCCTGCTAAACATTCTATTTGACATAATTCAACTAATTCGAATTTATGAAAAACCCATGAGCATATAACCTAAACCCGGTGCGCCGACGAAAATAAATAACAAAAAAAAAAAGTGTTCTTGAAAAATAGAGAACAAAAAAATTCTTATGCCTACAATCATCACATGTCGAAGTTGTACTATTGAAGGTTTGGCTTTGAATTAAGAAGGTAAAAACAAAAAGGTAGGGCTTATGGGTTTTGTCTGATATCTATTGCGGCACTATGCGTGCGGTAGGGCCGCAATCATGCTTCAGATTCCGAATTGATAAAAGCTTCCATTTCTATTTCTAATCACTCCTTTTGCTTTCAACTGCTCAGTAGAACCCAATGTTAGATAAAACCTGAGTTTTACCGTTTTTCTTATTCACACGATTTCAGAAAATCGTGAGTTTGACCATTCGACAAATCACGTCGAATGGATCACCAGAGTTTTAGAAGGGAGTGGCACAGATTTAGTTGGCCACTCTCCAGCCAATTTTAGAATTCTTTTTTACGAAAACCAACAAGTGGTATCAGAGCCAAGTTGAAGATCGGTGTATATCATTGCAGAGGAGCCAACCTATCAACAAACAAGTTGAATAGCTCAAGTGGTTAGAGCGTTGACCTAACATCACAAAGGTCTTAGGTTCGAGTAGAAGAAAATGCAAAGTGTAAAAACACACACATCGTGGGGCCCATCTCGGGCAGGCTCACTCACTCCTCCACGCCGTCGTCGTGTGCCGACATCTCCATCACCGCCGCCTCGAAGAGGGCGTCAAGTTATCGTTGAGCGGGTGATCAGGGAGACAACGACTGTCGTCGTTCAGTATCCAATATTGACAAAGTCCAATTATAACGAATGGATCTTGTTGATGCGCGTCAACCTACAAGCGCAAGGGTTATGGCATGCTGTTGAGCCAGAGGAAGGAGAAACGATTGAGTACCGTGAGGATCGGTTGGCATTTGCCGCCATATTACGATCTGTGCCCCCAGAGATGCTGGCATCTCTCTCCACCAAGCGCACCGCGCAATCGGCCTGGGAGGGAATCAAATCCCGTCGGGTCGGTGTACAGCGAGTGCGGGAATCCAACATCGAGCAGTTGCGGAAGGAGCTCTCGGAGATCCACTTTAAGGACGGTGAATCCGTCGATGATTTTTCAATGCGGATCACGGGGCTCGCCAACAACATCACCACACTTGGTGGCAGCATCAGCGAGACAGAAATCGTGAAGAAGATGCTGCAGGTTGTCCCTGATCACCTCGAGCAAGTTGCGATTTCAATCGAGACATTGCTTGACGTGAACGACCTAACGGTAGAAGAGGTGACCGGAAGACTGCGTAACGTCGAGCAGCGGAAGAAAAATACCATTTCAGCTGTCGACAAGGGGGGTCGTCTACTCCTCACAGAGGAGGAATGGCTTGCACGTCTAAAGCTCCGTGACAACACCGGCCAGAGCAACGGGTCCTCCTCCAGCCGCAAAGACGGTAAGAAGCCATGGATCTCCCACGGGCGCATGCGCGGGAAAGATGGGAATCAAAAGAAGGAGTCGACCAATGGCAGGCCAATCTGCTCGAACTGTGGGAAGAGAGGACACCTAAGCAGGAATTGCTGGAGCAAGCTTAGGAACAAGGAGAAGGCCGAAAAGGCCCATGTGGCTCAATCCGAGGAGGACGAGCCAGCTCTCTTCATGGTAAGTGCATGTGTCCCCATTGTCGATTCCAAATCCACGGAAATGGAGGTAATCAACAACGATGTTGAACTCGAGAAAGAGCTCCAGCTGGGCGTAGCAAAGGTGGCACCAGCTAGGGAGCCAATTCAACTGGAGGAGGAGCGAGTGTTCGCTCAGATCAGCGAGCGGGACGAGCAACACAAGGACCGGCGATGGATCCTAGACACAGGGGCAACAAACCATATGACCGGGGCTAGATCTGCATTCTCCGAACTCGACTCGGGGATCCGCGGGACGGTGAAATTCGGCGACGGATCCGTCGTCGAGATCGAAGGACGCGGCACCATCCTGTTCGCCAGCAAGGGAGGCGAGCATCGCAAGCTGACCGACGTCTACTTCATCCCGAGGCTCAAGGCTAACCTTGTGAGCCTGGGTCAACTCGATGAGACAGGCTGTTTCATCTCCATCGAGCGCGGACTACTCAAAATTTGCGATAATCAACGACGGCTGCTCACACAGGCAAGGCGCACGACAAACCGTCTTTACATCCTGGAGTTAGAGATAGAGCAACCTGTCAGTCTCTCGGCCAAGATCGAAGAGGTATCTTGGAGGTGGCACGCAAGGTACGGGCATTTAAACTTTCCTGCTCTAGAAAAACTACAGAAGGAGGAGTTAGTGCACGGTTTGCCAGCAATCAAAGGTGTGAACAAGCTGTGCGACGGGTGCCTCATCGGCAAACAGAGGCGCACACCCTTTCCGTCTCGAACATCCTATCGAGCCGATGAGCCGTTGGAGCTTGTACACGGCGATATCTGCGGGCCCATCAAGCCGGCGACCCCAGGCGGTAAGAGTTTCTTCCTCCTATTAGTCGATGACAAAAGCCGCTTCATGTGGCTGACCCTGCTGCAAGCGAAAAGTGAGGCGGCAGAGGCGGTTAAGTGCATTAAAGCGCGAGCGGAGGCCGAATGTGAGAAGAAGATGCGAGTGCTGCGCACAGACCGAGGCGGAGAATTCACCTCGACAAGTTTCGGTAAGTACTGTGACGAAATCGGCATACAACGGCACCTAACGGCGCCCTACTCCCCCCAACAGAACGGAGTGGTGGAGCGCCGGAATCAGACCATCGTCGGGACAGCAAGGTCATTGTTGGTGACGGCCGGGATGCCTGGGAGATTCTGGGGAGAGGCAGTAATGACGGCCGTATATCTCCTCAATCGGTCACCAACCCGAAGCCTTGACGGGAAGACACCATATGAGGCCTGGTACAACAAAAAACCAGCGGTACATCATTTTCGCGTGTTCGGCTGCGTCGCTTACATGAAGGTAACACGTCCCCACCTCGCCAAGCTCGATCCTAGGGGGCTGAAGGTCGTTTTTATCGGCTATGAACCCGGGAGCAAGGCGTACAGACTATATGATCCTGTAGGGGGGCGAGCTCACGTGTCTCGCGACGTCGTCTTCGATGAAAGCACCTTCTGGCAGTGGAATGACGTGATCGAGGCAGACCATAATCCAAATCAATTCACGGTGGAGTACCTCGTCACTGAGCCGGAAGAAGGAGGAGCCCAGCATCAGCAGCCGTCACCGCCGCCAGCAGGTGCAACCCCTGAACTAGTGGAATTCGCAACACCACGGACTGCGGATTCGACGCTGGATGCCGATCACGATACTAATCTGGAGGCCAGGTACCGGAGGATGGACGACCTAGTAGGAGGAGGTGAACCACCTGGACTGGCAGTGCGCGAGCTCGAAGAAGTGGCCGAACTACATGTCATCAGTGCAGATGAACCGAACACCTTCGCCGAAGCAGAAAAGAACCCGTGCTGGCTGAAGGCAATGCAGGAGGAGATGACATCCATCACCAAAAATCAGACGTGGAGTCTGGAGGATATGCCGCCGGGACACCAAGCCATAGGGCTCAAATGGGTCATCAAAATTGATTACATCCGAACAGAGGAACAACTTGGAGACATCTTCACCAAGTCCCTGGCGCGGGTGAAATTTGAAGAACTACGCTCAAAGATCGGAGTTCAAATAGTAAGGTAGATATACTACAGGTTTTAGGAGGAGATTGTTAGATAAAACCTGAGTTTTACCGTTTTTCTTATTCACACGATTTCAGAAAATCGTGAGTTTGACCATTCGACAAATCACGTCGAATGGATCACCAGAGTTTTAGAAGGGAGTGGCACAGATTTAGTTGGCCACTCTCCAGCCAATTTTAGAATTCTTTTTTACTTTAAATAGGAGTTTGTTCTGAACAAATAAAACAACCTGAACGCAGTCAGAGTTATTTTTCTCTCTCCTTTTTGTTACGCATTTTCTCAATTTCCTCTCACCGAAATTCTGTGAAAACCAACACCCAACAAATAATTTCACCTCACAGTAGGAAGATCAAAATGGATGGGTACTAACAAAACAAAATAAGTAGGGACGAGGAGGAGTCCGCGTTGGCTAATTTAGAGGATGATAATGAATTTATAAGTAAAAATAAGTAGGGACGAGGAGGAGTCCGCGTTGGCTAATTTAGAGGATGATAATGAATTTATAAGTAAAGAATACATCTTCATTGATACAAGACGTTTCAGGAAATAAAAAATAAAGTCATAAGAGTTTAGGATCAAAGTCGAGATACGTACCATTGGAGAGAAATGGCGAGAGAATGCAGCATAGAGAAACTAAAATAAAAAATAAAATAAAATAATGAGTTTGTATCAGGTGGTTATTGGAGAGCATGAAAATTTTTAATGTAAGTTTGACCATGATTCAGGAACAAGCCAGTTTCGTGAAATCATTTTTCCAAGTAAAGTGTTTCCAGCTTTTAATCGCAACCATAAAAAAGAAGGGAGAGAACCTCATATTAATGTAAAAAAGACAAAATCCAGCTTTTAATCGCAACCATAAAAAAGAAGGGAGAGAACCTCATATTAATGTAAAAAAGACAAAATGTGAAGTTTGTAGTTAGTTATTATAGGATTAAAAGTGATGGCAAGAGGCATTACCATCTCTCTTGACGTGTGTTCCTAGCCGTCTTGCTTGTGTAGGGTTTTCCACACGCCACGCGGTCTGAAAAAACAAAGATTTTCCCCACAAATACTCCGAGGATGTTAGAAAATTGAGTAACTGGAAAAGGGACGGGAGTTTCCAACCTTTAACCACTACGCGTTCTCGAAATTTCGCAATTGAGTAACTGGAAAAGGGACGGGAGTTTCCAACCTTTAACCACTACGCGTTCTCGAAATTTCGCTGTCCCTTCTCAACAACCACCAAAGCTACTGCCTCATGACCATCGTCTCTGTAAGTGCTACGTTGGACCGTGCACTATGGATGGCTGTGGCTTCTTTGAGTACCTTGCATCGTCTCTGTAAGTGCTACGTTGGACCGTGCACTATGGATGGCTGTGGCTTCTTTGAGTACCTTGGCCATTAATTCACCAAAGAATAGGCAGCATTAAACCATATGGAAACGATTATAGACCACTTTTCTTTCTTGTGCTAGGGAAATGACAACACTGCACTATGGATATGGACGTTATAAACATAATAAATGTTCTTTCTTGTGCTAGGGAAATGACAACACTGCACTATGGATATGGACGTTATAAACATAATAAATGGTTCAGGATTGCTTAATCTCTTCTTTTATTGAATTGAACCTGGAATTACACATGTTCAAAGCTTTGGATGCTGACGATGATATCTTATACTACTATTGAATTGAACCTGGAATTACACATGTTCAAAGCTTTGGATGCTGACGATGATATCTTATACTACTAGACTGAGATTTACGTGATGTGCTATGTTGAGGATTGTTGGGAAGAAATCCTACGTTGGTTAATCAAGGATTATCATGAATTTATAAGTGAGGAATACAATCCTACGTTGGCTAATCGAAGGTTATCATGAATTTATAAGTAAAGAATACATTTTTTAATACGATGTCTTTTGAAAAAATCATAATACCACTTTTGAGTTCAGTGTTTTCTAACTCAAATGTTGGATTTCTTCTTCTCTGGCCAGTGAACCGAAAATACAATCCAGAGGGTCTGCAATAGCCTCGGTGCCTAGCTTAGTCTGCATATAGCAAAAGTTCAAATCAGACAAAATGATAAGAAAAAAACAGTGTCCCAGCAACGATTTACTTTAGTGTAATGAGAAAACAAGCAATTGCTTTTATTTCAACTTGGATGTTCAAATTCTTATCAAGTATGAACCTTTGCCACCGACATATGCGATATGTCCATCTTTTAACATAAGAAAAGCTCGTTTTCAAGTATGAACCTTTGCCACCGACATATGCGATATGTCCATCTTTTAACATAAGAAAAGCTCGTTTGACCAAAATGGTAACATAACACCTGAATCTCAGTGAATCATTCCATTTGAATACACTACATTTAATTTGTTTTGGTGCAAGGCCAACTTGTTGAGAACTTGGAGAAGACTTCCCTACGTCTCTGGTAAACCGTTCTCAATTCCAGGAAATTTATAATTACAATGCCTGAGATCATGCTATATTGATGAGTTGCAGTTCACAAGTACGGGGGAACACGTTTCTTGATATTTGGATTTCCAAATTTTGAATCCAAATTCCGGCATCAATTATCCATATTAAAATTATAACAGTAAGACTAGTTCTACCCAAGTTGATGCCCGATTATGTAATGATGAAGAAAACCGCATGATTTAAAATCGAGGGATGCACACAATTATTCTTCAAACTAAATAAGAGAAACTATAAGTATTAATCAGATGGGGACAGGAACTGAATTATTGTACTTACACGTGAAGATAATTAGCACATGAGCATAAGCGAATAAATTCAATGTGTAAGATCGAAACTAAGAATGCTAAAGAGAGCAAGAGAAATTTGAATATTGTTAAAAATATTCCTCGAAGCTAATAAATAAATTGTGCAATATGATTATGAAAAACGAGATGGTCTAGCTAAGCAGTCCTAGGAGAAAAAAACGCATTAAAATTCAAAATTAAAAAGCTCAACGAGATGGTCTAGCTAAGCAGTCCTAGGAGAAAAAAACGCATTAAAATTCAAAATTAAAAAGCTCTCACTGGCATGGAAGGAAGATGAACTCTGCCGCATTTTACAACATACCTACCCATGTCACACTACCTCCAACGAGAGCTCCGAATGTAAAATCTCAGACAGCCTTAGACTTGCACGTTTGGTGCAAAGTCCCTTCCTCCGTTCTTTGTTGTGACGTCCTCCACAATGATATGATCTTGTCTATTTTGAGCATAAGCTCTCATGACTTTGCTTTTGGTTTTCACATCATACTAATGGAGACCTTACTTATAAACTATAATCATCCTCTTAATTAGTTAACGTGGGACTCCCTCTCAACAATGCTCAACAATCCTCCCCTCAAACAAAGTACACTCATAGAGCCTCCTTGAGACCTATGTAGTCCTTAAATAGTCTCCCCTTACCCTCAAACAAAGTACACTCATAGAGCCTCCTTGAGACCTATGTAGTCCTTAAATAGTCTCCCCTTAATTGAGGCTCGATTCCTTTCTCTAGAGCTCTCGAACAAAGTACACCATTTGTTTGACACTTGAGTCACTTTTGACTACACTTTCGACGTTAGCAATTTCTTTGTTCGACACTTGAGGATTCTATTGACATTATAAAGTTAAGGGCATGACTCTGATACCATGTTAGAAACCACCGCCTCCACGACAATGGTATGATATTATCCACTTTGAACATAAACTCTCATGGTTTTGTTTTTAGTTTTCCAAAAGCCCCGTACCAATGAAGATGTATTCCTTGCTGAGCATATTCTCCACAGACTAGAAAAAATTAAGTTAAACGAAATCGTATTTTGCATTCCAATCAACCGACGTGCTACATATTAACGCAATTCTCAGCTCGAACCAAAATTGGTACAGCAGTTCCATCAGAAGACCAGTCAATGCCAAAAATGAGCTCGGAACTTATCAAATCAAAACAAGATAAAATGAAAAAAAAAAAAAACAGATTCGTCGAGGTTCTCTTTGGATCCTCGACAACAATCATTCTAAAACAAACTTGAATATAAAGCGTAGAGGAACTTAGGTGAGTTTGATGAGGTAAAAATTACGGAATGGAAGAGAAAGCGAAGGCGAGAAGAAAATGAAATACCTGTTTGGACCTGAGAACTTGTTCAAGTTCAAATAAAGCTTCACCCATGGCGGAGCTCCGATCACCAGACACGACGATTGAACGGAGCGAGTGAGACCTGAAATGCAAAGAAGCAAAAAAAATTAGAAAAAAAATGGCCCTGGTTTGTTGGATCGTTCTAATTTTCAATTTTATATATAATAAATTAAAAATAGGAGTTTTAATATATATTTTAAAAAAATTAATTAGATAATAACAAATATTCCGCGCCAATTTTTTATCTCTATTAAATTATTATATAGATTTTATTTATGGAACAAATATTTTAGATTATTAAATTTACTTTTAAAATATTTATATTAGATAATTAAAATCCTGATATTTCCCTCCAAACCGCCGCCATTTCTCTGCTTTGCTTTCTAGCTTCCTTCAATGGCGGCGACCTGTAAACCACTCCAAACTCAATATCTCTTCATCTTCAACTTCTAATTAACCTAAATGCAATGGAAACGCTCAGCCACACAACCTCCATCCTGCCTCTTCAACTTCCCCCATACCCCACCAGACCCAACGCTCTCTCCGCCGCTCTCTCCTCCGCCACCAGCCTCCTCCACATCAAACAAGTCCACGCTCAAATCCTCCGCTCCAAATTCGAACGCTCCGATTCCGATTCCCTTCTTTTCAAACTGATTCTTTCCTCTTGTGCTCTCTCGCCCAGCCTCGACTATGCCCTCTCTGTGTTCGATCAAATTCCTGAGCCCAAGACCCGTTTCTGCAACAAGCTTCTGCGTGAATTATCTCGAGGTTCTGAGCCAGAGAATGCGCTTTTTGTATACGAGAAGATGAGGGCTGAGGGTCTGAGTTTGGATAGGTTCTGCTTCCCACCCCTGTTAAAAGCGGCTTCGCGGAATCTTTCCTTGAGAACTGGGATGGAGATTCATGGACTCGCGTCGAAGCTGGGATTTGGTTCAGACCCATTTGTGGAGACGGGGTTGATTAGAATGTATGCTGCCTGTAGAAGGATAATGGAAGCCCGGTTGGTGTTTGATAAAATGTCTCAGAGGGATGTCGTCACTTGGAGCATCATGATTGATGGGTATGAAACTGATGTTGTTGCTCTGCATTTAGTAGTGAGTCGTCACTTGGAGCATCATGATTGATGGGTATGAAACTGATGTTGTTGCTCTGCATTTAGTAGTGATGATGGATGTGGTAGAATTCTGTTAATTATACGCTTCCTTGCATTGTTATGGTTGTATCTTTCTATCTTATGATTTTGAATTCATGGTCATTTTCTCCTTACCCTCAAATATTCAGGTATTGCTTAAGTCTATCTTATGATTTTGAATTCATGGTCATTTTCTCCTTACCCTCAAATATTCAGGTATTGCTTAAGTGGTTATTATGATCTGGCCTTTCAACTCTTTGAAGAAATGAAGAGAACAGGCTTGGAACCAGATGAAATGATTCTTTCAACTATTCTTTCTGCCTGCGCCCGAGCTGGAAATTTGGATTTTGGAACAAAAATACACGAGTTCATAACTAAGAAGAATATTGTCATGGATCCTCACTTACAAAGTGCTCTCATCAAGATGTATGCAAGTTATGGCTCCACGGACTTGGCTTGGGATCTGTATGAAAAGATATCCCCTAAGAACATGGTTATTTCGACTGCCATGGTTTCTGGGCTTGCAAAAGGTGGACAGATTGGTGATGCTCGCTATGTGTTTGATCAAATGGTGGAGAAGGACTTGATATGTTGGAGTGCAATGATTTCTGGATATACTGAGAGTGATTGCCCTCAAGAGGCTCTTGTACTGTTCAAGAAAATGCAACAAATGGGAATGAAACCTGATGTAGTCACCATGTTGAGTGTCATCTCAGCTTGTGCTCATCTTGGTGCATTAGATCAAGCCAAATGGATCCAAATTTATGTTGATAAAAATGGGTTCGGCAAGGCATTGTCTATCAATAATGCACTCATTGATATGTATGCCAAATGTGGGAGTCTAGAAGGAGCGAGAGAAATCTTTGGAAAGATGCCAAAGAAAAATGTTATATCTTGGACGAGTATGATTAATGCTCTTGCAATGCATGGAGATGCTCACAATGCCTTAAGTCTATTCCATCAAATGAAAGTTGAAAACGTTGAGCCTAATTGGATCACATTTGTGGGGTTGCTTTATGCTTGTAGCCATGGAGGTCTAGTTAAGGAGGGCCAAAGAATATTCCACTCGATGATCAATGAGTATGGCATAAGTCCCAAGCACGAACATTTTGGTTGCATGGTTGACCTCTTTGGCCGTGCAAAATTGCTGAGAGAAGCTCTTGAGGTGGTAGAAGCAATGCCATTTGCTCCTAATGCTATTATTTGGGGATCCCTTATGGCTGCTTGTCAGCTCCATAGTGACACTGAGTTGGGAGAATTTGCCGCTAAACAAGTTCTCAAGCTCGAGCCGGATCACGATGGCGCCCTTGTTGTCTTATCGAACATATATGCTAAAGAAAGAAGATGGGAAGACGCTGGGGAGGTTAGAAAACTTATGAACGAGATGGGCGTTTCAAAGGAGAGAGGATGCAGTAGAATTGAATTGAACAATGAGGTGCATGAATTTCAAATGGCAGATAGAAAACACAAGCAAGCTGATCTAATATATCACAAGTTAAATGAGGTAGTTCAGAAGTTGAAGCTGGCTGGTTATACACCACAGACTAACTGTGTGCTCGTTGATTTAGACGAAGAGGAAAAGAAGGAATTAGTCCTCTGGCACAGTGAGAAACTGGCATTGTGCTATGCCCTTATGAATGAAGGGTCACGCATTTGCATTACAAAGAACCTTCGGATTTGTGAGGATTGTCATGCTTTTATGAAATTAGCCTCAACGCATTTGCATTACAAAGAACCTTCGGATTTGTGAGGATTGTCATGCTTTTATGAAATTAGCCTCAAAGGTGTATGCCAGAGAGATTGTCGTCCGGGACAGAACTCGGTTTCACCATTACAGAGACGGTTCGTGTTCTTGTAAAGACTACTGGTGACCAATTCTTGTTACTTTTACAGAGACAGTTCGTGTTCTTGTAAAGACGGTATGTGTTCTCTGATATCTTTTATAAATTTCTAGCCAGATAAAGTAAGTATCAAATAGATAGAAACCTGATTCATTGAAGTTACATTTACAGATAGTATCAACTAACATCTTGATCCTAGAGACATGACATAGGAAAGGAAATAAAGCAATTTAGCTTCCACCAAAAAAGGAGGAAGAAAGAAAGGAAACTAAAATTTAGGAAAGGAAATAAAGCAATTTAGCTTCCACCAAAAAAGGAGGAAGAAAGAAAGGAAACTAAAATTTTAAGACTCCATTCTCCTCATGTTGGAGTCTTAAAATCATGTGTAGCTCTAGTTTGATGAAACATGGTTTCAACATCCAAAAACATCCAAAGCTTGTTTTTCAGTCTTCTTATGACTTTTGACATCCAATGTTTGAAGAAATCTGCAGCCATTGTATTTAAGTTTGAGTTCTCTAACATTGAGCTTAGTCGATACTCGAGAACCGATGTACGAGGATCAATTTGCACAGATGTGGCACCCCATCCTTTCTGAACCCAAGAAGTGTTCGCCTCTCGAACCACCAAATCGATCCCTCCATCAGACCACTAAGAAACAGAAAGACCAAATCATTCAGTAGTATATCATCAAGTTTTCTGTCCATTATCAGCTTTTTGTTGTTCTTAGAATTCAACTCAGAAGGTTTTGACTTCACCTGTTTAATTCTGCCTGATAGGATCGTGATTGATCGTTGCGAAAATCCGGTACGAAACAGACTTCACCTGTTTAATTCTGCCTGATAGGATCGTGATTGATCGTTGCGAAAATCCGGTACGAAACACTCCAGCAGTCTGTAGAGGCCATCCCCATAAGCTCACTGCCCCTATGGCTGATTTGTACATTGTGCACCTTGAACTTAAGAGCATCCCCTCCTACAGTGGAAGCATAATGTTAAGAACACAACTGAAATGTGCACCTTGAACTTAAGAGCATCCCCTCCTACAGTGGAAGCATAATGTTAAGAACACAACTGAAAATAAACCCAAAAGAGAGACGATTTTAAGTTGAAACAAGAGTGTTTCTGAATCTACCTGATCAATTTCCCACATGGAATCCTGAGACGATTTTAAGTTGAAACAAGAGTGTTTCTGAATCTACCTGATCAATTTCCCACATGG